CGGTCTCATGTGACTGCAGCGCACAAGTGAACTAATATTTGTCCATTTGTTTGTTTCCACGTGGCTACGCGCGTTTCTGCTCCAAAACATAGATGATAGACGCTCTTTCAATGGCAGTCAGTCAAAAATTGAGGAAGAAAAACTCACAAAACATGGAGATCAAAACAAATTCACCCTTGCTTCAAACCGAGACAGTGTGGGTTAGATTGTCTTGATGCCCGGAGCGATGCACTGTTCGAAGGTCAGATCCAAAGTGAAACCGCAAGCTTAGCTCTTTTGATTTCCTGCCTACATGGAAAACCAATTCCTGGAACGGAGCTATAGGGTGATGGGAAACAGCATAAAACCTCGCGAATTAGCCTACTTCCTCTGACAGGAGCATTGTGTGTGTGTGTGTGTGCATCAATATAGGGGCCAAGTCAGTAGAGGCGAGTATTGACTGAGTTGCACCACGTTACTTATACGATACAAAATCCCTCAGTAGTTTGCAACAAGTACGTCATTAGCCGTAATACACTACTCGGCAACCTCGTGAGTAGTGTATTACGTCTCTACGTGCATCCCGATGTCTCGAATATCGTATCAACTGAAAGAAGAGACGACTTCGTGCAAGAGAGATTTCTGGGCTCCAGATGCGTCTCCAGTCGAAACCAAATTGTTATGCTAAACGCATCTTTCCTTTTGGGAGTTATATGTGAACAAAAGTACATTCCCGGGGGGACGTTCAACATCATATATTATGTATCTAACTTGTTCTGTTCTAGTAAGGTCATCAACTTGAGTTCGAAAATCGACTTCTAGCAGCAGTAATTCGCACTTTTCGAGCTCGTCTTTCTACATTGGATTACGAAGTCACTTAAAAAACAAATAGCTAGGAGTCGAACGATGCCAGAACAGGCGTATTAACTAAATCACTGACGTCTTATGGTGTTTATTCATGTATTTTGCTTCTGTCCAGGATGTCCTTTATCGTCAAAAATGATCAAAGATGATGAGGCGGTTACTTTCATAAACTACTAATATCGGCTAACCTCTTGGATCGTTTTTCAACAGTTAGCCCTTCCTCTGGAGAAACTTCCTCAAATAAGGAGCCAGATGATCATTCAGATTGAATACTTCTCCTCTTGATCACGTATAGGATTACAGAATGACAAAACCGACACGCTAGCATGTACATAGAAGGCTTACTTCTAGTATTCGTGAATTCCTGAAACACTGGAAAAGTATATCATTTCCGAAGCTACCAGTTGAGTCAGATCTTCAAGAAGTAAAACCTCAGAGGTTGTCTTTTCCGAGGTTGGAGTTTTTCCCAGAACTTGAAATGTGTCATTGTAATCCAGATACAAGTTGAAATTATTGAAAGTTGTTTCAAGCTACAGGTCAATTCGATGGTCTTATTTGAGTGAATCACTCCAACACGATTGGAGTTTCCACTACTGCAAAAGGAGGGCGAGTAAAACGGACAAATGTTACAAAACTTGGTAGTTGGACAAGTCCACTATACCCACCACCTCCCCACCATTTTCAGCTGTAATAACCACGTACTCGTCGTACAGTGGTTGTAGCTGCCGCAATTTCGTCCACCGATGATTTGGGCGGGGGGGAGGTAACTGCGCATTGCAGGCGGGAGATGGTGCATAAATCCAGCACTGTCAGTGGGCTGTCAAGTGTGGGGGTGGTGGTGGTGGTGGTGGAAAAGGAGCTATGAATTGAAGGCAATAGCTTGGATGCACGAACGCCATTGAGGGCGCGACTGGGCCATGTCTGACAATGTCTCTAGCCATTGATGTGGCCCGTCTCGGGGTCCCCATCCAGGAAGACGGCAGCAACCAGCGCAGCTGAGTTTGCTGGTACTGGCTTTCATACCTCACTGCCAAGTCATTGTTTGACCACCTCTGGCTCTCTTCCACCCTTCACGTGGTTGTGCGCAAAGAGCCCTTTGAGGAAGTCGGTCGACTGGCATACGCAGCACGTGACCAAGCTAGCGCAATCTTTGCTGTTATGAAAGGATGGTATCACATCCGTTAACAACTGTCAAGTATACGCTGTCTATCCGGTCCGTCAATCGTTTGACGAGGACGGCTACACGAAGAAAATGGCCGTTGGCTTCTCTGAAGAGTGGCATGCTTTGAGGGGTTTTTCAAGCTAATCTGGTCTTTCAATACTCCCGTACAACTGGGGTCTCATATGTAAGATTTTCACGACCGGTGGCCACCTACAGCAGGAGCGAAAAAACCACCTTTTCTCAAAGTTCTCCATATTCTTCGACCGATGGTAGGAATGCCCTAATATGCTATCTCTTCTCTAGAGTCACTGTATTGTTGTCCACGTACGATTGAGCTCATAGGCCTGTTTCATGGCCCACACGGTACCGTACCGGGAATTAGACAGCGCTATTGGATTAATTTAGCGACATCTTTAAAACTTTCCTTTGACAGCTGTCCTTTGCCCAGCCGTAGCTAGAACTTTCAAGATGATACTTGAAATGAAAGAATCAGTTGTATAGGTAGGTAGACTCTTCTCTCGGCTAGTTGTATATCACAGGGGTCTTTCGGATCTAAGTGAGCGCTGCGTTTATCGCATCTGAGGAACAAGAACATGCCTGCAAGAAACAGCCATTCTCTGAGTTGCCCCTTGACTCGTTGACCCACGATAGCGCAGAAAGTCCAGCACATCGTAAAATTTGTCCAAATCGGAACACCAACAGAATTTTCACGTACAAACTAAACTGTGCCAAGATTTGCATTGCTTTTTTCGTTGCAAAATTACCAAGATTTCAAATAACTGATGGAAGATAAATTTGTGTTTTGTCACGGTTTTGCCCAAATAGAACAGAATAAATGAAACATGTTGGGACACGGATGCCCTACATTCTTTGGCTACTGTCTGAGATAAGCCCCAGCCACGATTCAGTTTGACAGCATTTGGTGGGATAATCTTCGATCATCCATTTGAGGTTACTGGAGTTTCCGCTTGTATCAAGACACAATTCCCTGTGGAATGTTGGAGCGCAGTTCACAGATGCTTCATTCTTCTTGGATTAGGATATTCAGCGTTATTTGAAAAAAATGAAACACAGACTTTCCAAGAATGGTTTGGTTACTGCCCAAGACCACTCCCTCCAAATACAACCTACTTTTGTGGATGGGTCAGGAAAAAGTTTTCCGACATCCACCACCAACAAGTTAACGGTAGAACTTTCCCTGACTGAGATTTGTCATCTAAAGATCTAACCCGCAAATAGCAGATCACCTTACCTGGCCATGTGTAAGAGCGGGCATCAGGGAAAGATCAGGTCTACGTGCTGATTCCGAAACAGGGGGGACGTAAGCTGGTCATTTTTCCGATGGCATATGAGGAAGTAATAATGCTCATCGTGATTCATGGAATTTATTGAACTTTGGAGTGGACCCCATTCCGCGAATTCGATGAAGAGCCATCATGGAGAAGGGACTTGATCTTTTTACTAGTATGAATTGTATGATTTTTAGTAAAATATCTGATCTGTGTGAGAAGAGTACAAAAGAATAAACATGATAGCCACAATTCGATGAAGTTTGTTCACCCAACAACGAATAATTACGAACTTATGTGGTTATAATTGATTTATCCGGGTATGTCACAGGTTGGAATGATCAGTTTCCTGCTACAGTACTCTTTTCAAAGAATGCCCCCCACCTAGAGTGTCGGGTATGGTTCTGACGAGCGAACATTTATCACTAGCCACAATATAGTGTCCATTGCTCCGGAAGAAAGAGTATCCATCAAATGGGGCTGGAACAGCTTTCATCCCATGGTCACTCCCTCTTCGGGAGGCCAGCAGACCTATACACTGAACACGAGGCAGTTCTACAAAGCTCGAGGGGTTTTGAACATCCCTCCGGAAGAAAGAGTATCCATCAAATGGGCTGGAACAGCTTTCATCTCATGGTCACTCCCTCTTCGGAGGGCCAGCAGACCTATACACTGAACATGAGGCAATTCTACAAAGCTTCAAGGGGTTTTGAACATCGATTATGGCGATAAAGTTGACAACGAGTCAGCAGAATACACTCATTTGCAAGAGACTCACCTGAAACCCAGCTGAATTCCTCACTTGTGATGACCCTAGGCAACTGACTGTGCTGCACCAGGCCGCCTCATGTTTCAGTCGCTACGATATTCGAGATGACAGAATCTTGGACACTGCGCCTACCTGATGAGCCCCAAAAAGGGCGAAACCGGCCGTTAACAACGAGTCATTCGGTAGTGACAGCGAGGAGGTATCAAGTAACAGATGGAAATCACGAAGGGGATGGACGATACTCTCTGACCGTTGGCGTCCAAGAGAATCCCTAACGGTATGGTAAACTAGTACTGAGCTGGTTAATCAAAACTATAGTTGGCGGCGTAGAATTCGCTGTTTTTTTTTAAAAAAAAGAGAATGTAGCTTCACGAAATTTGATGACAGCCACAAGTCTATCGACGAAATTGGAGTTAAAAAATATCCGTGATTTTTCTGGGCAAGGCACTGAGACACTTACTCGTAGTCAGTTTGATGCTAAATTATTGTCGAATCGCAAACAGGAAAGGTCATTGAGTTGGTTCTCTGATACGAAACCAAGATATACCGAAGTACTGTTTTATCCTTTTCTGATGATCGTCAATGGCGCGTTTTTTGCGTGCTCTCAAATCGTTCTCGGGCAACACAGTGCTCACGTGATGTGTAGTAATTGGTCTACAAAGTTCCTGATTGCAACAGCAAACTTTTTTGGGACCGACAGGTAAATGTGGGTGTCATCGGTCTTCAAACAGTGCCAAAGTTGACATCGATACGTCCATGTGAACAGTTTCAAAACTGCGGTCACTTTGTGCATTCTGTTAGTCCGGCCAGACACTCAGGTAAACTGGCTTTTTTTCAAAGTATCATTTTTTGTGGTAATAAGTACAAAAAAAATCGATATTTGGTCGATGTTTCCGATACATCAGCAACTCACAATACATATTTATTCTCCTTTCAGTATGGATAGTAGAAGACCAAAAGTAAGTTTGTCCACTCGTACCTTTATCGTTTTCCATAATTCATGCTGTGAAACTACATAAAACGTTTGCTTGCTATTGAGTAGCATAGATTTTCTGGAATAGTTTGATGAATTCAAAAACCGTTCCAACTAGTTTTGGCTGCCAGTTACGCGTGATCTCCTTTAACAAGCTTGATTGTATCTGACGTTTTGTGGGTCTGTCTGTCGCAGAATAGGTAATTCGGACACTATACCATGTACATTTCCGGAGTTTCTTTGGCAGTGACAAGACAGCTTAATCTGTGCAACCTATAAGCTGTTTCTGACAAACGCTTGTGGCTAGGGTGTGTTTACTGGTTTCTCGGTTACTGCTGCAGACAACAGCAGCAGCGTGTAACTTCGAATCGGAAGAACAGGAAAAAAAGTTGCTTTTTGCATGATAGCAGCTGAACATACCAGCACTCAGACACTTATAGAAGATGGAAAGTGCGATGATGCGCCTTTTGGCAGAAAGTGTCTTTGGAAGAAACGAACGAACGAACCACTATGCCGGCTCAGCAGTGAAACAGCTCCGAAACAAGTTGTCTTCACTGAGGTGATCGCAACAGTTTTGCTACATCGCAAAAACTGATTAGAAGCTCTTCCGAAAGAGAAGTCATCACACAGAAGCAACTTAAAGTTAGAGAACTCATGACGACCGTAGCTAACTCATGATCCTCAAGAAGGGCAAAACCTGTCGTGGGCCATCGAAAGAAATTCAGCCAGCTTTTGAACAGTGACTTGTGTCTAAAACATAAAAGTTCATCTCTTTCCAAGGTCATCTTTCGAGGTAACTGTGGTTTAAAGTTACCAATTAGCTACCAGTACTGTGGCCAATATATGACGCAGCGCAGATTTGTTTCACGTGATCTTGCTTTTTTGGATCACTGATGACTAATTAGACGAACGTTGCTTAATCCTAACCAGACAAGTCCAAACTACTGATCAAATGATTCTGATTCGTCAAAAAATACTGACGAACAGCAACTCAACTTACTCACTCGACGTTCCATTCTATGACAAGTAGTTACTTTATAAACCTATCGTTTCCTTAAGTCTGCTATAACTTTCTCTCTTTTCAAAAGGCATTTCAAAGCAAGTTCTAATTTTCATAAAGGAAACTACTCACAAGGTTGCTGTAAACGCTTCGACAACCCAAGACCGGTTCCACCCTTCTTAGGGCTCATCAGGTAGGCGCAGTCCCCGGGGGTTTTGTCAATCTTATGTTCTACTTGAACCCAAATTGGACTGTTTTCGAGAAATACACTCATTTGCAAATCAATTTGGTCTTCACGAGAGACTCAACTTAATCTCTCGTTTATGATATTCTACAACTGAATGTGCTGCACACAGGCCGCCTCATGTTTCTAGTTGGAGCGATATTCTGGATATCGCAGCATATTTTCATAAACGAAACCACTCACACGGTAGCTGAAAACTTTTCAACAGCCCAATACCGGTTTCGCCCTTCTTGGTGCTCATCGGGTGGGCGCAGTCCCCAAGTTTTCGTCAACCTTATGTTCGTTCAGCCGAATTATATCCTAAACGAGAGATTCAGTTGAGTATCCCATAAAAATCCGGTTGATATGCAAATGAGTGTATTTGCCGAAATCTGTCCGATTTGGGTTCAAGCAGATTATAAGGTTGACGGAAACTCGGGGACTGCGCCTACCCGATGAGCCCCGAGAAGGGCGAAACCGTTTGCGTTTGTCGAAGGGGTTTTGGAAAACTTGTGAATAGTTTCCTTTATGAAAATCTACTACGATGTCTCGAATATCGTGCAAGCTGAAACATGAGGCGGCTTGGTGCAGCATATTCGTTGTAGAATAGAGAGATTCAGTTGAGTCTCACGTGAAAACCGGATTGATTTGCAAATGAGTGTATTTCTCAAGTTCTAATTTCTTTTACGAGAAACTCGCACTGGGTTACTGAAGGCACATCTTGCAAATGCATAGAGCTTGCTCTAAATTGACGTTATTCACAGAGTCCTTTTGCGTCTATCCGACAGGTGATGGTGTGCAGTTCTCAAAATGAGGAATCATCAACAGAAGTAGCCTAGGCCTGAAGTTCACTTAATCTCTCCCAAGCTGCCCCCGACCAAGCTATCGTAAAATCTACAAGCTCACACAGACCAACAAAATCTACTAGTGACACTCAAGGTGAGCTATCAGTTAAACGGGAAGATCAAGGGACTAAACTCACCCGACCAAAAATGAGTAGAACTTCCCCCAGCTATTGACCTTAAGATTTAGGCTAATACACAACCAACAAAACCTTCTGACTGAATTTCAGCTCTCATCTAGTTTGTTTGTCTTCAAGGGTCTTACGGATTAGTTCTCCGTCAGCCTTAAAACCTGGCCAACATGGTGGTTTGCTCACTTGACCTGGTGAAGCGCTTGTATCGAAAGCGGAACGGTAAGCCAGTTGAAAGCAACCGATTGGTCATCAAGCCCTCCCGAAAGAAAGAAATCTTCAAAAGCGTATTTTGATTGGACAGTGCCGAGTGATAGCGGTAAAATATAGTCCGCGAAATCGAGTTTTCTCGCTCCCTCCCTAGATGTGATTTTGGCAACAGAATTCACGATCTCTCAGACTGCATTTCACGATGATATCGGAGTAGACAGGGAGGACATTCTTGACTAGTTTTACGAGAACTTATGGACCGTTCGTTGTATACTCTTACACGGCCAGAAACAGAGTACGGAGTAGGGACTATATTCACGAGCCACAAGTCACTTTGAAGAACAGACCGAACTAACGAGTCCTTTGTGACTGAAAAAACCACAATTTCCGCTGCATTGCTGAGACCCTCAGCATGATGTAAATTTGTCATCGGTGCACCCTCGTCCGCATGAAATATTGTATGATGCGTTGAAATTCGCGTTCCTTGAGCCAAGACTGAGGTTGCCCCTTAATTGAAACCAGTAGCTGTGTTAGTGTAAACCCAAGACTGATAGAACCACTTGAATTTTACGTTTTACTAAAGATGTATTGATCGATTGGTTCCAGCTGTTTGGGAAGGTCCCCCATTTGTGGTTGAACAGAAGGCTAATAGGCACCACTATCCTTAAATAACGCTTCTGGACATTCACTCAGCATGTCAGCTAGACTGTGTCAATACTCCAGAGTCTGAGGGAAAACTTTATTCGATACTCGTGGATTATCATCGGTTTTCGAAACTCCGTGTACCGACTGGTCTTATTCGAATCGTTGTCACATCCGGTGTCTGTACGGTTCTACATTGGGAACACAAAACTGCTTGTGGTTGAATATATTCATCTCACGGGCAAGCATGAACATCGTTCACTGTCTACAGTAACTCCAAAAGCGAGTGTCTTGACAAGCCAGCTGTCTAACCACTTTGCTTATAAACTATCATGTCATTTTGTACACGTACAACGACTGTGATAGTGCAGGGTAGCCAAGGGTAGCCGCCATATGATCACTGATTCCGAATCACAAGCTTGGTCAGCTGATTCTAGCAGGTTTGGTGACCAGTCGGAAGAACTTAACACCAATTTTGTCAAGTCCAAGGGGGGGAATCCGTCTTCCATTCAACCAGCTAAAATAGCACCTCAGTCTAACATCTAAAACTGAATTATTCGAGCGGAATGGTCGCGTTGAATTGCACAACACTTCAACGACTGCGATTCCGAAAAGTTACCGGGAAATGCGATGCCCAAGATGCATCCTGGGTGGAAGATAAACATGCCACAGAAGGACCCATCCCCAGATAGTTCACAGAAGAAAGGCCTTCACAAGACAGAGCAACCAAACGGTTCCAGTTCTCAGTCAATTCATCGCTCGGGGGTTGTTTAAAATTTTTGGTTGTCCGATGAGATCAAACACAAATACCTCGGTTGTCTAAACTATCCACAGCGATGCAAAGCAGTATGGAGGCATGAACAAAGCAACCTCCTCAAACAAAGGATATGTTTCGGGGGGGGGGGGGTTTGGTNACAACTTCGAATTCCCACTGATTAGTGAGCTCCCAGGAGATTACTATATTAGGCAACCATTATTATTGAATATATGGTCCAGATACCGATCGATAAACATACTTGGTGGGGAAATAGAGCTGCAACTTTCCTACTGGTGGCCGGACGCTTCATCGTTCCAGCAACTTGGAGCTTTTCTTGCGATCCACACTTGATTATCCCTAATACATTTTCTCAGTGTAATCACAATGAACCTGCTGCATCGAGTAGGCGTCCCATATCAGCTGTTTTCATATTCATTCCTTTGTGGTGTGTGGCGATGAGTACACCCGATGAGTTGTCCGAAGTGAGTGTTGCGTAACAGACACTTGTTCGGATGTCAAAGGTCAGATTACAAGATCAACACCTGAACAATGCACAACCATCTCAAGCAGTGCAATTTAGAAGCCAGTGACAACTGTTCATCAGCAGCAGTACTGAACTATTGATGAAGGTAGGTTAAGCGTCAGGGGATACTGCGTCTCTTCCCTTCGGAGAGATTACTGTTTTACTTTCTGTCTGGTGACTGACAATGCGTACACCAATATGAGAATGTATCTGATACAAGTTTCGCAACATGCGTGAAATATCGTGAATTAGAGTCAACAG